TGAGGACGGAGCCGCTCTGCGGGTAACTGAAGCTGTATGAGGACGGGGTGCTGGGGGGCGTCGGGGATAGACTGACCGGAGACGGACCCGGAGACAGATCCGACATGCAGCCCGACGGAGAATACGGACCCTTGGGAGGGATGGGGGCCAGCTTCTTGGAAACTGAAGGAAAAGTGTATATTAATTGCAGCATCATATCATAAGATCATAACATGATTATGAATTAAATTCACTTGAAATGTATCGATTGCTGTTTTCAATCAGTGTAATATGTGAGCCTGCAGCACAAAAGCAGTGTTAAGTCGCTGGGGTATATTTGTAGCAATAGCCAACAATACATTGTATGGGTCACAATTATACATTTTTCTTTTATGCCAAAAATCATTAGGACATTAAGAAAGATGATTTTCTCAATATTTAGATTTTTTTGCACCCTCAGATTCCAGATTTTCAAATAGTTGTATCTCAGCCAAATATTGTCCTATCCTAACAAACCTTACATCAATGGAAAGATTATTTATTCAGATGATTTCAGATGATGTATAAATCTCAATTTCAAAAAACTGACCCTTATGATTTGTGGTCTAGGGTCACAATTTCGTTGACGGATAATTTTTGTCATAATTTGTCAACGACATTTTTTCACTGACGATAATGAAACAAAAACTCCTTTTTGAATGACGAAAATCTATTGACATTTTCGTCAACGAATAAAAACGAGACGAAAATGTTAGGGAGGGACGATTTGGGAAAAGATTCATTCAGAACGAATCCAAACCTATACATTGAGTTTGGTAATTTTAGAGAATTCTTAATAAATGCATTACACTGTAACTAAACTCATTAGATTTTAGCCGACTAAATCTACTGTAGATTTAGTTGACTAAAACTAAAACAATTCAGATGACTAAAATGAACACCGTTTTCAATGCTTGGCTATTTCATTGCATTGCACAGACTGAATGCACCTTTGTGCAGCGTGTGAGGACTCAGGTCTGACAGCTGGTTCTGTCCAATGCCTCTTTGACCAATCACAGGCGAGGACTCCTTATTCTTCTGAGTGCTGAAGACAGAAATGCACACAAACATCCATTCACTGCACAAACACACACAGCCTCAGCTCGGACATCTCAACACTGAGATGAATAAAATAGAAAACGTGCAATTTGGCAACAAATTTATCCCCAGTAATGAAGTGAATCTGACAGAACATCCACTTACTGATGTCCTCCGTTAAAAATAAAATAAAATAAAATATAAAATGAATAAATGAATGAATGAATTAAATATATGAAGTTACTAAAAATGGAAATGTTTCGTTGAAATAAATTGAAATATTATTTATTTATATATGAATGATTAAATAAATAAATAAAAGTGTATGTAGATGCTAAAGTTGGAAAAAACTTTTTTTTAGGGGCTGGTGAAATAAATATAAATATTTTTAAAATATTTATGACCTTAAGTAAATAAATAAACAATCAGAAAAGTGTATACACAGTTTTTTAGGGGTTGGTGAAATAAATAGAAATTTTATTTTTAGATAGATAGATAGATAGATAGATAGATAGATAGATTTTAATTTATGGTTTGGTGAAATAAATAGAAATATTGTTTTTTAGAAAATTTCTGACCTAATTATAACAAACAAACAAAGAAACAAGTAAAGCGTATGTGAAAACTAAAAATGGGATACTTTGTTAATACACTAAATAAATAGTGTATTATATAATGTAATAGTAAAGTATATATAATATTATTTATTTATAATTATCGCAAAAAAAAATAAAATAAAAACCGTTTTATTTGGTGTTAGTGAAATAAATACAAATAATATTTATTTATAAATATTTGACCTAAAATAAATTAATTAATTAATATCAAGTAAAGTGTTTGTAGATACCAACAAGTTTTCTTTAAAGGGCAAGTAAATAAACGTGTGTGTGTGAGTGGTGTGTAATCTATGTTCGTGTGGCAGCTGTTCTTTAAGCAAAGAGAAAAACCCCTTTATTTGGGATTTATTAGGGATTTTTGCTCATTTTAATGCATAAAGCTGCGCAGGGAACTTGAGGGAAAGTCTGAAGCAACTTTTCAGTTTTAGTTTCAGTAGCTGCAGCAGGAATTCATGTAAAGGAATGCTACTGTACTGAATCAAATGCTACTGTACTGAAAACCTATTTATTTTTTAATTCACACTGTGTGTATTAAAATGTAGGGCATTGCAATCGGTGAGCATTAGGGGGCGCTAAGTGTTTTCATGATGGTGATCCAAAATATTTGCAGACTCAATCCAGAAGAACTGTGTCTCCAAGACGCTTCAAGAACAACATTCGGTGTGAGCATCTTTGTGTTTAAAGCAGCTTTTGTCCTCGGTGCAGTTGAGCAGAGTTTCTCAGGAGCTTCGCAGGAGGTTTCTAGAAGCGTTTGAAATTGCATCATATGACCCCTTTAAACCCAGTTTTAGCTGCTGGAAATACTAGTGTTCTAATCATTTTGGCCAGCACTGTATAATCCCAAATTTGCCTTTAGTGTTCCAGCGGGTAGTTAGTGGGTTAGTGGTAGTTACCTAGGCGCTCTGAGTCCTCTCTCTCGGCTGCAGGCGGCCCCCGGCGGAGCGGTGGGGAGGAGCTCGGAGGACAGAGGGACGCTGGGTTTAGGGTTGGAGATGATGTCTAGAGAGGTGGAGGACAGGAGGAGCGGAGGAGGACTGAACGCCGAGGGAGGAACGCTTTCAAGACGCACTCGAGGGTGAGGGAGCGAGGAAGAGGAGGAGGAGGAGGAAGAGGAGGCAGGGTATGGAGGGGGCGGACAGACGAGACAGGAGTCCGAGCGATTGGATGATGCCTCGTCGAAGCTGAAAAGATTTACAAGATTGACACGTAAAACTGTCTGAGATCAATACGTTCAGCTCCATCAACAGCATCTGCGTCGTTACCATGGCAACATTATTTAAAATAAAAATCATATTTAATATTTACTGATAACTCTAATTAAACCAATAAATTGATAATTGATTTGAATTAATATTATAAATAATCATTTTTAATGTTCATAAATACTCACACAATCAGTTAGTTAAAATGTATGACTATTAATTAAGTGTAATTCAATTCAAATATTATTAGCAATTCTTCAATTATTATTTAACAGTCAGTCAATTATTAATAAATATTATAATAAATATATTTTTTAATGTTCATAAATACTAATACAATCATTAATTTGTTAACAGTTATGAATATTAATTATAAATTAATTATAATTAAACTCATACTTCGCAATTATTCAATTATTATTTAACAGTCAGTCAATTATTATTATGTACTTATATTAATTAATATTACAATTCATAAATTAAATTAAAATAATCATCCATCATCCTATTAAAATTTACTGATATTAGTTCATTATAATTAAGTCAATTAATTAATAATTAATATAATAATCAATAACTATAAGTTAATTATTAAATATTACATATTATACTTAATACTTATTTCATGTTCATAAATATAAAAAAATTGTTATTATTTATTACTATTAATTATGAATTAATTATAATTAATTTATTATCAATTATTCAACTCTAATGATTTAATTGTCAATTATTAAATTATTGTTAGTGATTGTTGTTTAATCAATAATATTAATATTATAATGAATAAATATTAATATAATTAATCATTAATTGTATATTTATTAATATAGATTATTAATAATAATTAAATTTAGATTATTTATGATTCATATTGATTAATATTCTAATTAATACTTGATTTGTTAAATATTTATTAAAAAATTAATAAAATTAAAGTATTATTTTTAAGTTTTAATTATAATATGAATCATAAATAAAATAAAAATATTTATTATATTTATTATAAATAAATATGAATGCATTTTGCATTATATATGCATATTAATTAAAATTAATCGTTAATTTTAGCACAAGGCTGACCCTTATGACTGGTTTTGTGCTCCAGGGTCACAAATGACATTAATATTCATGATGTCCTCATCTGGCTGAACGGAAACGAGCAGCAGTCATGTGACGAGCTCAGCTCGTGTGCGCTGGATTCCTATTGGTCGCCTCTGTTTACCTGGTCCTGTCGCCGCTGATGGGGGGCGGAGTCTGCGAGGGGGAGGCACAGACATCGGCTGTCTGCTCAGGGCTCAGCGAATCAGAGGGCGGCTGAAGGCTGGGCGGAGTCGAGGAGCTCTTACGAGACGAGGAGGAGGAGCCTCGGCGAGAAACCCAGGAGGTGTCCATCACTCGCACTCCCATACTGCAACGGGGCAGAGGCACAGCCAATCACATCCCTCGCACTTCATAAACAACAACCTATCTGCAGCATTTGGGCCGGTAAGATTTTTTTAAAGAAATGAATACTTTTATTCATCAAGGACGCATTAAAGTGATCAAAAGTGACAGCAAAGACATTTATAATGTTACAAAATGTTTCCATTTCACATAAATGCTGTTCTTTTGAACTTGTGTGAATCCTGAAAAATAAAACGCATCACAGTTTCCACAAAAATATTGTACAGCACGACTGTTTTCAACATTGATAATAATCAGAAATGTTTCTTGAGCAGCAAATCAGCATATTAGAATGATTTCTGAAGAGTAATGATGCTGAAAATACAGCTGCGCATCACATAAATAAATTATATTTTAACAGATATTCACATAGAACACAGCTGTTTTAAACTGTAAAAATATTTCACAATTTTTACAGTATTTTGATCAAATAAATGCAGTCTTGGTGAGCAGAAGAGACTTCTTAAAGTAAAATCTTATGTAGTGTACTTTGAGTGATGTACGGCAGATCGTTAAACTCCTTTAAAACGAATTAATTAGCCATATGCACTGAATTCATGTCACTTCAATAATGCAACACCACCAACATCAGTGTTCAGAATCAGCAGGAAATCAGGACAGAACAGGACGAGACAGAAGCTTCACCGTACCTCTGAATTTTCCTAATGCTGCATTAGTGGAAGAAAAGCAGAAGCGTCAGTGATTCAAAGCCAAAGTGAGGAGAGGAGCGCATGCATGTGAGCATATAAAGCGAACGCACCTGTCCTTCTTGTAGAACTCCAGCATCATGTTGTCGGTGGCGACGCTGAGTGGGCGTCGGCTTTGGTCCGGCTGCCTGCGATCTGATTGGTCCAAGTCCGGCGACGGCATGGAGCTGTAGCTGGCGTTGTGGTTGTTATGAACAGGGCTGCTGTAGCTTCCCGTCACGTTAAACTCAATCTCTGCGAACACAGAACCGTTTTAGCACTGGTCGTTCACGCCTCAGATTTGCAAAAGACTCAAGAAATGGGCGTGCAGATATACAGACAAATTAATATTAAAACGAGAGCAGTGAAAGAAAAAAAAAAACATCAACAACAGAGATAGGGGCCACCTTGATATATTCTAAAAATATAATAATAATGATAATGAACTCTCAAGAAATCGTATCATTAGAGACTACTAACAACTTTCATGAATAAATCCAATTTATAAAACGGAGAGTTCCGGTGCTTGATTCTGATTGGCTGAGCCACGTTCGAAGCTGTTGTAAATTACTCTACAAAGTAACATACACCTTTGTTTACGTTTGTGTGTTGCTCGGCAACCACTTTGTTGCAACCACAACTGTTTCTGAGGAGCTACATTGTTTGGTGGAAGAATACTGTTTTTATTAATATCATTACACTTTATTTGTTCTGTTTAACTCCGCTTCGCGTCGTACTTAACAACGCCCCTTAGCTGTTATAAATTCACTGTAAACCACGGCTTCACGGGGCTTATTGCTTTAATGTTTTGATAAATTATTATTTTAAATAAATAAGCAGACATACCGGTCTACATGAAAAATGAAGAAGAACATTTAATAGTTCTAATAATATTATATAAGGAATAAAAGCATAGTTACTTTTCGTTCGCTCTTCTTTGAATTTTCGGTGTATATCAATAGCTATGTTTCCATCCAAAGATTGGAATTAAACTTACGCGCAAAACTGGAATATCGCATAAAACATTTGCGAATAAAGCACCGTTTCCATCGAACGAGTCAACAAAATCATCGCTTCCTGATAAACTGTGGCACTCTAAGAAAACTAGGAGAATATAATAATTTTCGTATATAATAAATCACTTGCGTGCGCTTCAGAGCGAGCGAGACGAAACACAGTAAATGCTGTCAATGCTTTCGGAGCAGATGCTGCTGTTTGGGAACGCAGTCGTTAAAGACAATTATACAGAAATACTTTGACGACAGACTTTGCTCAGGCCTTTCAAAACGATCATAACAATATTTCAGATGCTGTGAACGAGATCGGTCCGCTGGTTAGTTAAGTTAACCCGTCTCATAGCGCAAAGTCACATGACTTTTTCAATGCGCATGGAGGAATTTATTCGGTAAATGTGTTTCCATCGTAGTTTATGCGCATTTTTTCTTATCAGATATAACGTTTTTTATGCGCATTTTTAGAATTTATGCGCATCTTGGCGTTTCCATCCAGTGTGTTTTTATGCGATATTCCAAAATGTGCATAAAAATAGGTGAATGGAAATATAGCTATTGTTTGCTGTGTATCACAATAATCCATTGTGTCATCATGTTCATGATCATTTGCGCATCTTTCATCTGACAAATAAAACTGATGTGCAACCTGTACATACATGTTAACATCTCAAAAAATGTGTTTTAGGGTTTCATAACCCTTTAAATAGATCAGAATTGTCAGTACAGGGTAGATTACTTAGAAAATGTAATCCGTTACGGATTACAAATTACATGACAAAAATTGTAGTTAGTAACGTAATCCGTTACATTATACATTTTAGGTAATGTAATCGGATTACTTTTAGATTACTTTTGATCTAAGTCATTACATTGATTTGAATAATAATATCTTGTACCATATTGATATAAAAATACAAATATATATTAATCGTGAAATGCATTAAACATTGCATTGCGTCAAGGTTTCCCAAATGGGGATCGTGAGTTTAATGCAAAGCTAAAAATGAATTAAATCATTAAAATAAATCATAAAATTAAAATAACTAATTTAAAAATAGCAACAATCAAAATAAAACACTTACTTAAAAAGATCTCATGGACAGTGTGAAATCTTTGAAACAAATGCAAATTAGTTTGTACTTCTAAAAAAACATTTTAGATATACACATTGATACAAACTAAGATATAAATGTATAATTATATGCAAGTATATTAGTTATAATAATGAAACAGTATTAATGATTGATACTAACAACATATATGTTACATAAAAATTTAAAATATTAAATAATTTAAAAAATAGAATTATATGATGTATATATAAACAAATGTAAACAAAAGCAAAGTATGTTTGAATATGCTCTTTTTCTCGCGAATTAACCTGCATATTTCTAAACAAGATATTATTTCCATATTTTCACTTTAATATCACTTAAAATGTTACTAATTTTGTTGTGTTTGTTTTTTTAAATGTCTTTATAGCTATTTATTATTTTTTATTTATTTAAATTTAGTCATTTTAGTAAATACCTTGGCTAGCTGAACTAAAAGTTTTTTTTTTATGTCTTATTTAAGTTTAAAGTAAGAAAATGTTTTTTATGGTTGTAATTTTAGTTGACGATGATAAGCGCTCTGTGTATCTCACCTTCGGGGAAGAACCAATCAGCATGCTGGATAATGGGCTCAATGATCCCCACGATCTGCAGCGAGACTGTGGTCATCATCTCTGTGCTGTTCCTGAGAGACAGTGAGACATGCATCCCATCAGTGATGTCATTTCCTCATCATGACACTGATGGTGTGTGTGTGTGAGTGAGTGAGTGAGTGAGTGAGTGAGTGAGTGAGTGAGTGAGTGAGTGAGTGAGTGAGTGAGTGAGTGAGTGAGTGAGTGAGTGAGTGAGTGAGTGAGTGAGTGAGTGAGTGAGTGAGTGAGTGAGTGAGTGAGTGAGTGAGTGAGTGAGTGAGTGAGTGAGTGAGTGAGTGAGTGAGTGAGTGAGTGAGTGAGTGAGTGAGTGAGTGAGTGAGTGAGTGAGTGAGTGAGTGAGTGAGTGAGTGAGTGAGTGAGTGAGTGAGTGAGTGAGTGAGTGAGTGAGTGAGTGAGTGAG